GGGAGAAAAGATTAGGGGGTTTTGGGGGGATTGGGGTCTGAGAGGGGGATTACAGCCCTCGGACTCTTCAATAAGTACTTTTTGCGAGGGGCTATTCACGACATAATTGAGTGACACCGTGATTTCGAAATGACGGCGATTCAGGGTGATTTCATGATTTCGAATGCTTTCATTGATTCGAAATCAGTGATTCCAGAAAAATAAAGTTGGTAAATGATAGACGTGGGGCAAAACTGTTTGTGTCAAACTATAAAAATCAAAACTGCACGGAGAGAAATGTTCAGTAAAAATTACGGAACTCACAATTCACTCACCGATTACGGAATCGACTCAGAAAATTTGAGTGACGGTATCGTAATTTTTCACAGGAGATTCAGATAAAAATTACGGAACACTTCGGAAAAAGTGCGTGACAGTTCCGTAAAATTGCCTACAAACTCATTTCGCTCCGGAATTACGGGAAAGATACATCATTTTTATTGAATATTTCTCTTCGTGTGGTAATAATATAATAAATTGATTTCAGTGATTTCGGAAAAAATTATTTCGGTGATTTCGAATGATTTCATTAATTCGAAATCAGTGATTCCAGAAAAATAAAGTTGGTAAATGATAGACGTGGGGCAAAACTGTTTGTGTCAAACTATAAAAATCAAAACTGCACGGAGAGAAATGTTCAGTAAAAATTACGGAACTCACAATTCACTCACCGATTACGGAATCGACTCAGAAAATTTGAGTGACGGTATCGTAATTTTTCACAGCAAATTCAGATAAAAATTACGGAACTCACAATTCACTCACCGATTACGGAATCGACTCAGAAAATTTGAGTGACGGTATCGTAATTTTTCACAGCAAATTCAGATAAAAATTACGGAACTCACAATTCACTCACCGATTACGGAATCGACTCAGAAAATTTGAGTGACGGTATCGTAATTTTTCACAGCAAATTCAGATAAAAATTACGGAACGCTCCGGAAAAAGTCCGTGACAGTTCCGTAAAATTGCCTACAAACTCATTTCCCTCCGGAATTACGGGAAAGATACGTCATTTTTATTGAATATTTCTCTTCGTGTGGTAATAATATAATAAATTGATTTCAGTGATTTCGGAAAAAATTATTTCGGTGATTTCGAATGATTTCATTAATTCGAAATCAGTGATTCCAGAAAAATAAAGTTGGTAAATGATAGACGTGGGGCAAAACTGTTTGTGTCAAACTATAAAAATCAAAACTGCACGGAGAGAAATGTTCAGTAAAAATTACGGAACTCACAATTCACTCACCGATTACGGAATCGACTCAGAAAATTTGAGTGACGGTATCGTAATTTTTCACAGGAGATTCAGATAAAAATTACGGAACGCTCCGGAAAAAATCCGTGACAGTTCCGTAAAATTGCCTACAAACTCATTTCGCTCCGGAATTACGGAAAAGATACGTCATTTTTATTGAATATTTCTCTTCGTGTGGTAATAATATAATAAATTGATTTCAGTGATTTCGGAAAAAATTATTTCGGTGATTTCGAATGATTTCATTAATTCGAAATCAGTGATTCCAGAAAAATAAAGTTGGTAAATGATAGACGTGGGGCAAAACTGTTTGTGTCAAACTATAAAAATCAAAACTGCACGGAGAGAAATGTTCAGTAAAAATTACGGAACTCACAATTCACTCACCGATTACGGAATCGACTCAGAAAATTTGAGTGACGGTATCGTAATTTTTCACAGGAGATTCAGATAAAAATTACGGAACACTTCGGAAAAAGTGCGTGACAGTTCCGTAAAATTGCCTACAAACTCATTTCGCTCCGGAATTACGGGAAAGATACATCATTTTTATTGAATATTTCTCTTCGTGTGGTAATAATATAATAAATTGATTTCAGTGATTTCGGAAAAAATTATTTCGGTGATTTCGAATGATCTCATTAATTCGAAATCAGTGATTCCAGAAAAATAGAGTTGATAAATGATAGATGTGGGGCAAAACTGTTAGTGTCAAACTATAAAAATCAAAACTGCACGGAGAGAAATGTTCAGTAAAAATTACGGAACTCACAATTCACTCACCGATTACGGAATCGACTCAGAAAATTTGAGTGACGGTATCGTAATTTTTCACTGGAGATTCAGATAAAAATTACGGAACGCTCCGGAAAAAATCCGTGACAGTTCCGTAAAATTGCCTACAAACTTATTTCGCTCCGGAATTACGGAAAAGATACGTCATTTTTATTGAATATTTCTCTCCGTGTGGTAATAATATAATAAATTGATTTCAGTGATTTCGGAAAAAATTATTTCGGTGATTTCGAATGATTTCATTAATTCGAAATCAGTGATTCCAGAAAAATAAAGTTGGTAAATGATAGACGTGGGGCAAAATTGTTTGTGTCAAACTATAAAAATCAAAACTGGTAATAATAAATGGAGAATAATAACGAATTCGTTGATTCAACTCCGCCAATCTTGAGCTAATGACGATGAAAAACCGTCAATTTTACCATTTTACTATGGCAATAAGCACAGCATTTTATTATAATCGTTGGCAGGAATGTCAATTTCAAAATGACGAATTACTTGCACGGTTCGTAGTACACCGGTGTGCCACTGATTTCGGTGATTTCATTGTTTTCAGACGATTTCACGTTATTTCGGAGAGCTAAAATCATTTGATTCCACGTGATTTTGGTGATTTCACGTGATTTTGGAGTGATTTCGGAATGATTTCATGCCAGAGTAGCGCCGTGATCTTGGGAGTGAGTAGCCGCTCGACCTTTTGCATCCGAAGGGAAGCATTGTAATCGTTTCAATCTAAGTTTTCGATTTTTCGTGTTATATCGACCCATTATGATCCAAAAAGTCAAGAAATGCAATTTTTAGACCGTACGAATGACACGAAGTATTGTATGTCACACGGCGATAAAATCATTAATTGACTCATGTGATTATAATCTTCGCTTTTGACTCGGATTATAAAGTCGCATTCGTCAGATAATACTTTTATCGCCGTGTGACATATAATATTTCATGCCGTTCAGCCCGAAAATCGCGATCAATAGAATGTCATAACAGTGACATAAATTGCATTTTCGCACTGCACGGAGAGAAATGCTCAGTAAAAATTACGGAACTCACAATTCGCTCACCAATTACGGAATCGACTCGGAAAATTTAAGTGGCGGTATCGTAATTTTTCACCGGAGATTCAGATAAAAATGACGAAACGCTGTGGAAAAATTCCGTGACAGTTCCGTAAAATTTCCTACAACCACATTTCACTTCGGAATTTCGGAAAAGATACCTAATTTTTATTGAATATTTCTCTGCGTGTGGATGGATCATAATGGGTCGATCTAACCGAAAAAAAATCCAAAACTTGAATTTGAACAATCACAAGCTGTCATTCTGAAGCAAAAAGCCCAAGTCTTTTCAGATCAGAATTCGACTGACGTTGGTCGCCGCCAATTACAGTCCCCGGGAACCGCCCCGCATATCAACAAGGATTGCCTAATAAGAATTCACTCCCAATTATTTGTTTTGTACCCGAACGCATTTCTCAAGGTCAATGCCCTCCCGGTAGATGCCGATAACTCGAACTGTTCAGTATTCCTGATCCAAAAAGTCAACTGAAAATCCCCCGACATGAATGTATTTTTACAGTGCTCCAGGACGACGATCTCGTTTTATTTATAGAGAATACATATGCAAGACAGTTAAAGTCTGTCAGGCAGCGGATGGAAAAGAGTAAAAGTCATACTTGAAGGGTCGAAAGAGCCGAGGGAACGAGTATGAGAGGAAATAGCCAAACACGAGACCATAACTGCCTAAAAATGCTGGCAAAGGGGGAGAGGAGGTGGCGACGAGAAGAAGGAGGACGAGTTTGGGGCTCGTGATGACACGTTTGGGAACACAAAGATGAATAAAGATAGAGGAAATAAAAATAGTAAAGATATGAAACTGCAAAAAATATGGAGAAAACGATGAGTCAGCAGAATTCCTGAGAGACTTTTTGTTAAGTATCTCCGAATTTAATGGAGGCGCAGAAATTTTCATAAAAACTTTTTTGTGGAGAGGAATAAGAGCTTGAAAAAAGGCCTGCGTAAACATTTCGTTATTCTGTTTAGTTTTCTGCATATTCTCCAGAAGTTGATCTCCAGACAAATTGAAGGGGGAGAAAGGGGAAAAGGAATCTTCTTTACTTTTCAATATCTTCTAGGCAAACGATGCAATTTTACTAAATTTGATCTCATTTTAAAGCTTGAGAAAAAATATTGGAAATTACGTCATATTCAGATAATTTCACTCTGGCGATATTGAGTTATTGATGATTGAAAATGCTCCGAAAACTGATTGACTTTGGAAGAAAAGATAAAATGGACCTTGTTTAATTCTTCATATCATCTAGACAAATGAAGTGATTTGGATGGGTTTCATTTCATTTTAAAGCTCAAGAAAATATCTCAGAATTGACGTCAAATGGAGGTAATTTCACTCTGGCGATGTTGAGTTATTGATGATTGAAAATGCCCCAAAGACTGATTGACTTTGGAAGAAAAGATAAAATGGACCTTGTTTAATTTTTCATATCATCTAGACAAATTATGTGATTTGGATGGGTTTCATTTCATTTTAAAGCTCAAGAAAATATCTTAGAATTGACGTAAAATTGAGGTAATTTCACTCTGCCGATGTTGAGTTATTGACGAATGAAAATCCTTAAAAAAATGATAATTTTGGGAGGAAAAACAAAATGGGTCTTGTTTAATCCTCAATATCTTCTAGACAAATGGTGGGACTTAAACGAATTCAATATAATTCTGAAGCTTGGAAAAATATCTTCAAAATGGTGAGAAAAATAGAGAACTTCACTCAGCCAATCTCGAGATATTGACGATCAAATTTTACCCCAGTCACTCCTATTCGTTGTACCACGTAATACTAGACTAATTTAATTCATTTGAGTATTAATAAATCAAATTACCTTTTTTCCTGGAGACATTGTGGGCGGCGAGTTGTGCAGAGATGCTGTGATTTCCCTTAAAATCACTCTGGTCCCTTCTCTAATTCCCACAGGACTCTTGCTCAGTCTCGTTGGACTCGACATGCTCAGAAAAAATGTAACACCTTTTGAATTCCACTGGAAACGCAATAGCCACTGGCAAAACACGAGATAAATCCACTAATTTGCACTGATATTTCTCACAAAGTGTCGATGATGTTCACTTTGTCGATGTTGACGTGAATGTGGTACGAGTTTCACTGGAAATCTCGAGGTTTTTCCCGAGTGAAAACAGCGGAGAATATTCACGACGCTGGGAGAGCGATTTCTCCAACGGCTTTCTGAGGTTTCGTCGTTTGACAAGTTGAATGCAAAACAAATGAGCCAATCGGAGAGCTGGAGCGGTTGCAACGGTTGGGGTGGGGGGATTCGTGGCGCTGAGGGGCAGTTCTGCGCGGTCGGTAGAGTAGAATGGCGGGGGAGAGGTTTGCGAAGGTCGGTTAGGGGTGGGAACCGGTTTGAAGAGACGGCGGAAAATCAGGAAATGATGAATGAAAATCTTACGGCCGGCGTGTGATCTTTGGGAGAACTACTTACGAGGTTTTGGGAAAGAACTTGAGATTGGAGAGGGTGCGGTAAAATGCACACTTTTCACTTTTTTTTTAAATGTTCAGGACTTGTTGAATTGTTCATGAAATGGAATAATTTTATTTTTCAATAGAAAGAACAATGATTCGTCTTTGTGATGAGCTTAGACTGAGCGCAATTGATAAATCTGTTTCTGAGTTATGACTATTTTTTAAAAAGTCGAGTGTCCATTTTACCCCATTCTCCACTAGAACGTTTTTAGGCGCTCTAAGAGTTTGCTTTGTCCATTGGAAATTGCAAATTGCGGGTATGAATTAATTTGGAGAGATGTGGAAATTTCATGAGGGAAGAATACCATTTTTGTGAATTGGTCAATAAACTTTTTCATCTTGAGAGTCACTAGTTACTAATCACAATATTTATCGGAATTTTTGATTACTTTTCCGAAGATTTTTCAGTTCGATGAGCGGAATAGATATTTCCTCTAGATTTCCAGAATGAAAAGGTCTATTGTCTTGGGAAGGAGTCTTTTGAGAGTAAAATGTGAAAATATTTCTTGTGTAGTCGATTCAATTTTGAATGGAAAAGTCTTCATTGTATTTTAATATCTCTTGTTATCAGGATAATTTAATGTTCAAAATTGCAGAAATTGCAAATTGTGAATATGGATTCGCTTGGAAAGATGTAGAAATTTGATGAGGGAAGAATACCATTTTTATGAATTGCTAAATTATCTTGTGATGGAGTCTGTTGAGAGTAAAATGTGAAATAATTTCTTGTGTAGCCGATTTAATTTTCAAATAAAAAGTCTTGGGCCCGGTTGCACCAAGTCCTATCATCCAAATAAATCCTGGGGTAAAATTTATCGTAGGGGTCATTATTTTTCAATATTTGACCGGAAGAATAATTTTTTATTTAGCCTGTAGCCCCATTTGAATTAACACTGATTGAACCTTGGGATCAAATTTTATTTTTTGTTCCTGGGCTAAATTTGCGATACTCTCTCGGGTAAAATAATCCATCGAACATCCAAATTTACTTTTTTTCTTATCTGACGTTTTCATTACCCGGAGCTGGTGCAACCGGGCCTTGATTTTATTTTAATATCACAGGTTATTAGATAATTTAATATTCAAAATTGTAGAAATTGCAAATTGTGGATATGGATTCACTCGGAAAGATGTAGAAATTTGATGAGGGAAGAATACCATTTTTATGAATTGCTAGATTATCTTGTGATGGAGTCTGTTGAGAGTAAAATGTGAAACAATTTCTTGTGTAGGGGATTTAATTTTCAAATAAAAAGTCTTGGGCCCGGTTGCACAAAGCCCTATCATCCAAATAAACCCTAGGGTAAAATTTATCCTCGGGGTAAATTATATCGTAGGGGTCATAAATTTTCAATATTTGACCGGAAGAATCATTTTTTATTTAGCCTGTAGCCCCATTTGAATTAACACTGATTGAACCTTGGGATCAAATTTTATTTTTTGTTCCTGGGTTAAATTTGTGATACTCTCTCGGGTAAAATAATCCATCGAACATCCAAATTTACTTTTTTTCTTATCTGACGTTTTCATTACCCGGAGCTGGTGCAACCGGGCCTTGATTTTATTTCAATATCACAGGTTATTAGATGATTGAATATTCAAAATTGTAGAAATTGAAAATTATGGATATGGATTCGCTCGGAAAGATGTAGAAATTTTATGGGAGAAGAATACCACTTTTATGAATTGTTAAATTAGCTTGGGAAGGAGTCTCTTGGGAGAAAAATATAAAAACATTTTTTGTATAGCCAACTAAATTATAACTGAAATAGTTCTTCCACGTGTTCTCCAATATCAGTCAGGCTATCGAAATAGTTTCGATGGAATTGGAGTAAATGGAATTTTTGTTCATTGTTCAATTATCTGGGAAGGAGTTGATTGTTAATTAATTGGACTACAATGTTGGGAGACTTTTTGTAGCCAATGGAATTTTGAATAGCAAAGATCTAGTATTTTGTGAGGAATCTTTGAGATTACTTCAATATATTTTAAATAGATTCAAGTTCTTTAGATTTTTAAAGGCCATTTTTAAGTGGAAGTTTGAGGTCGTATTGAAATTTTTATTTCTAACTGTAAATTTCAAATTAGAACAAAAGATAGAACAGAAAGTTTCGTTAATTGTTAAATAATGCCGGAGTGGCTGATAATGCTCTGTCCATTAAATTTCGAATAAAAAGTCTTTATTTCATCGTCATGACTTGTTATTGAACTATTTTGATATTCAACATTTTTAACTGAAAATTGTCGGTATAAATTCATTTCGAAGAATGTAAAAACGTAATGAGGGAAGGATAACATTTTTATGAATTCTTTAATTATCTTGGGAACAAAATGTGAAGACTTCTTGTGTATCCAACGGAGTTTTGAATAGTTAAGATCTAATATTTTGTGATGAGTATTTGGGATAATTTTCATATCTATTAAATAGATTGAAGTTTTTTAGTTTTTGAGGCAATTTTCAAGTGGAAGTTCGAAGTGTTGTTGAAGATTTTATTTCTGACCCTAAACTCCAAATTATGCGAGTAGATGCAATCGTGAAATTGTAAAACGCAAACTTTTGTTAATTGTTGAATCATTGCGGAGAGTCGTTGAGTAAAAAAATCTTCTTTTTATTTCAATATTACGTATTATCGACATAATTTGATATTGAATATCAGATAAAAGGCAAATAATCGTTCTGACATCTGAGGCTATCATTTTAAATATTTCATAAAAAAATTTGTGCAAAAAACCACAAAAAGGTGTTATAATTTAATTAAAAAGCGAATAATAATAAATCATGTCATTAGTGTAAAGACATGCTTAAGTGAATTTAAAACGTATAAAACTCCGAATTTTTTTTTGCATTTTTATTGTCAATCGCATCTTACAAATTGTATGTATAAATTCTATCATCTCTCATCATCCTCACTCGTTATTCCCAACTCCATACTGGGTAATTTGTTAACTATAACTGATATTTTCACTCTCAACAATTCGATGGGACACTCATCAAAGTCAATATATATTCATATTCAATTCTCCTATATTCATTCTCACACTTATGACGAAAAATAACATAGGATTATGTACACTCTCGATGATTACCATTTACCCGTGAACAATCACGGAATTTATCAAATGCCAGTAATGAATATTTTAATATAAAAGAAAATACTATGTACAACACTCAGTCCTTATTCAATAGATAAAAAAGTATAAGGAGCACTTTATTTAAGGCACTAAATTACGGTTTGATATTCTGATGATTCTGTTCTTTTTTTTTTTTCATGAAGTGAAGTCCGAAGGAATGAAGCCCTAACGTGTGGATTGATCACAGAAAAGTGTACTGAAAATTTTCGCCCTATTTCATTTTCCTATTAGTCAATCTCAATTTATTGAACTATTTGTTTTACTAATTTCAGAGAAAACTCTAAAAATTCCCGGCTTATTTTGCAAATATCTCGTGAACCGTTAGGTTTATCGAGAAACGTCAGAAGATTCTTTTTGTAGCCCACAAAATTCTCCACAAAAATGTCCATAAACATTTTTTCCCAAACCAAATAGTTTCTGAGATACAAATATACTTAATAAAAACTCAACTTTGAGTTGAATAACCTACATACATTTCTTACTTCGCAAATATCTCCGAAACCAATAGGTTTACAAAAAAATGTCAAAAGACTTTTTTTGCAGCCCTTTAAATTCCCCACAAAAAACTCTTCTACAATTTTCCCTTAAACCTACTTCCTCCGAAGATATCGTCGAAAAACACCTCATAAAATTTTTGAATTCATCTCTTATCTCCACTCCATCGAGAATTATCTACCCACTGACAATATTTTAACATTTCGTAACTAACGAACAGATCAAAAAAGATCTACATTCGAGTCCATAAACCTCCCCCTCCCATTGCTTCAAGCAACAATAGACAATTCCATTAAAAATAATGGAATCCTGAAACTTCCAATAATCTGAACACCTCGTTTCCCCTCTCAAACACCTCAAAGATAATATAATAATAATATTCATATCACTGTTAAGAGTCTTCTTAAAGTCACGATGCCTCGCAAAAACCTATTAACCATGGCAGTGTTAAAAATGTTATTGATCGAATAAAAGAGTCATCGAAAAAGTTGATAAGGTACTAAAAGGGCAGTAGATTACTCAAAAAGAAGTGAAAAAAAAAATCAATAGCGAAGTGGTGAAGCGTATTAAATCACTATATATCTCTTTCCACATGAAATCATCCCCATAATGAGGGATTTTAGAGACAAAAATATCATGAGACATTTTTTGTTGGCGAGTTCTTCAGTCAAAATAATTTCTTCCTGATATTTGCCTCAGAAAATCACTTGTTTCTGAGATAAATTGCAGCAATTTTTTCATCCCCAAAAATCTCTTGGAATTATTGAAACTTTGTCCATTATACATATAATTAAATGAATAATGAGCAAAATTTTCAAGATTAATATTCATGCAAGGAGAAGAAAATTCTCCAATCAAGATTGTTTTTCTTTATTTTAGAATAAATAACCTTGATTCAAGAATCCCAGATAGATATTCTTGGATATAGTATCTGTTTCATTTTGAAATCAAGAATACGTATTTTGAAGCAAGAGTTTTTCTGCTTTCTCTTCAGAACAATAGTATATTCTTGATTCAGGATTTTTTCTCCCTGTACATTTTACACTTTTCTTACAAAATAATAATCGAACCCTCACTTGTCTCTCATATAGATTGCAGAAAATTTATCGTCCCCAAAAAATCACTCTTGGACTGATTGAAACTTCGTTCATTGTACATATGATTCAATGTGTAATGAATGAATTCCCAAAACTAATATTTATTTACAAAGATTATGAAATACAACTTATGACAAGAGAAAATTATTGAATCAAGATTTTTTTAGTCAAGGATAAATAATCTCAATTCAAGAATTCCAGATAGACATTTCTAGCTATTCTATCTGTTGAATTTTGGAATCAAGAATATATATTCTCGACGAAGGATTTTTCTATTTTTTATTCATGAAAATAGTATATTTTTGATTCAAGATATTTTTATTCAAGGATAAATAATCTTAATTCAAGAATTCCAGATAGACATTTCTAGCTGTTCTATCTGTTGAATTTTGGAATCAAGAATATATATTCTCGACGAAGGATTTTTCTATTTTTTATTCATGAAAATAGTATATTTTTGATTCAAGATATTTTTATTCAAGGATAAATAATCTTAATTCAAGAGTCCTAGACAGATATTTCTAGTTTTTTTATCTGTTGAATTTTGGAATCAAGAATATATATTCTCGACGAAGGATTTTTCTATTTTTTATTCATGAAAATAGTATACTCTTGATTCAAGATATTTTTATTCAAGGATAAATAATCTTAATTCAAGAATCCTAGACAGATATTTCTAGATTTTTTATCTGTTGAATTTTAGAATCAAGAATATATATTCTCGACGAAGGATTTTTCTATTTTTTATTCATGAAAATAGTATACTCTTGATTCAAGATATTTTTATTCAAGGATAAATAATCTTGATTCAAGAATCCCAGATAGATATTTCTAGCTATTCTATCTGTTGAATTTTTGGAATCAAGAATATATATTCTTGACGAAGGATTTTTCTATTTTTTATTCATGAAAATAGTATATTCTTGATTTAAGATATTTTTATTCAAGGATAAATAATCTTAATTCAAGAATCCTAGACAGATATTTCTAGATTTTTTATCTGTTGAATTTTAGAATCAAGAATATATATTCTCGACGAAGGATTTCTATTTTTCATTCATGCAAATAGTGTATTCTTGATTCAAGATATTTTCTCCCTGCGCATTTAACCACTTCCTTACTGAATAATAATCGAGCCCTTAATGACCCTCAGACACTCACCCACCAGCCTCAATTACGTGTAAGGTTCGAGTTGTGGAGGTAACCTAGGTGGTGTGGGTGAGTTTTTTTGGCTGCTGGACGGTGGAGTGAGGATGCCACTCTGATCAGGACTGCCTGTATCAAGACTGGTAGAGTCTAAAGAGTCTAGTGAATGAAATTCCAAGTCCTTGTGCCTCTGCTGTGCCTTCTCGAGCATAGCGAGGTCCACGACGTGCGTCTGGATCCTGTGGGACTCGTCCAGGACGATGTTGGGTACAGCTGCTCTCAGTCCAGAGCCTGCGTGAGACTCGACAGGGGGTGCTGTTGACCTTGAGAGCAGTTGGGAGTCGTCTTCGGCTATGATGTGGGCGAAGGCACTGAGCCACTTGGCGCAGGGGGCCAGCTGCTCCCAGGAGAGGGTCGACACCCTGAGGGCGCACTCTCGACCCTGGGTGTGGTACACAGCAGCTGCTGCCATGTGGGAGTAAGGGAACTTCAAGCTCCCCTCGTCGAGGGTCGCCAGGTCCAGGAGCTGAGCTGCCTGGGCATACTGGAGGCCACTGTACTGAGGGTAGATGAAGGCGTGTGGCCGGGACCAATCGCCCGACTCCATTTGCATGTAGACGTTCAGCCAACCTGGTGGCGTCACTGGGGACAAGTTCCAGCCGAGACCTTTCAGGATTATCAGCTCCTTTCCGAGGATCTCGTCCTCTGTGCAGGCACCGTCGGTCACGTAGGCAAACTCGGCGATTTTTGGGGGGTAAATTTCTTCAACCTGAAAAGGGTTGAAAAATCCGTTTATCCTTAGAATTTCAAACGTCTCAATTAATTTCAGTAGCGAAGTGGTAAAACGGTACAAGTCAATTTTAACTATTGACCAGTTTTCAGTGAATATCTCGGAATCTAAGGGAGATAGCCAAATTTTTGGAACAACCTTTTTTGTAGAGCCCATTGAGAGCTGCAATAAATGTAATCACGAAATTTTCGCTACTTCCCTTAGATGCGGAAATATTCGTTAAAAACTCAACTGGGGGATAAGTCGACTTAAACCGTTTTACCACTTCGATACTGATTTCTTCTCCTCAACTTCTTCTAGGTCCCGGTGGCTTGGCGCAGTGGGTAAGTTCGTTGCCTCACATGCGAAAGGTTCCGAGTTCAAATCCCGGCCGGGTAGAATGGTGCGATCTAACCATTTAAAGTCTTGATAATCATCGCAGTATACTCTAACCGGGTCGAAGCGATGTAAAATAACGATAAAAAGAAAACTTCTTTTAGCTATGGAAAAGTGGGGCAAGATGAAACAGTGGGGTAAAATGAAATAGTGCACTGAAAGAAAAACAAACACGATGTCAAACCAGTCTTGTTTGGGTCAACAAAATTGCTAGTTGAAAATTGCCAAAAAAGAATTTGTTTGGTTCGAATTTGAAAGCCTCAAACATGAATAATTGCTCTGCTTTCGACAACAACGAAATATTTTGCTCAAGGGGCGGATAATTCACACCAGACGGTGCCTTTTCAGGATGAAAATATCTCATATAGAGGAAAATTTAGCAACAAATATTTTATCCATAAGTAACAAGATTGCTGTCATATCATTATTATTGCTTCATTTAAGGGTTCATTTCTTGTCTGTGATTATTAGACAGTCGAAACGAAAAACTACGATCCCTTGTTTCGCATGCAACAAAGATTTTTCATCACGCTGTGCGAAAAGGTAACGTCCCGTTTCCACACATTGTGACGAAAAATATCGTTCGATACTCGTGGGAAAAGTGTTGTTTGGCTCGTGGGATTGTATCACTCGCCTTCGGCTCGTGCTATAAACCTCCCACGAGCCGAAAAACTCTTTTCCGCACTCGTAACGAAATATACTATTTTGATCATTTTCAAAAAACAATTTTTTTGGTACAAGTAACACTTGTTTGAAAACTTTGTCGTTTTTCTCTCAGTGAAGAGTAAAATGAAACAGTCGAAAAACGACTGTTTGATGCAATTCAAGCGAAACATTTTTTTAAGGCCCGGGTGGATTATCTTTCGAACGTTATCTCGATTGCTTTTTCCATCTTCATAATGTAAAATATATCACAATTTCCGTTGGATTTTACATCACGCAGGAGTCCCTACAAATTATGATTGTACAATAAAAAAAAATAGAAAAAAATCTGAACATTTTCAAAGAGCGTTTTTAATAAAGATTAAGAAATAAATCTGATAGAGAGAAAATAGTGAATGGATAATTTATGATGATAACTAACGACCTAACAGCCGTTAGATACATTAAATTATTAATTTGCGATTTCCTCCCTATTGCATTTATTTCCCAATATTTTTCAAAAACGCTCATTCAAAATGTTCAGCTTTTTTCAATGTGTTTTTGATTGTACAATCATAATGTTTGGAGACTGTAGGGCTATGTAAAACTGAACAGCAATCGAGGATCATTTCAGTTTATCAAAATAAAAAAAAAACCACGATCACGTTCGAAAGATAATCCACCCGGCCCTTAAATTACAATTGTTTCGAATAACGGATTATTGAAGTTGCAGTATTAAGGCCCTTCGAACGTTATCTCGATGTTATTTTTCATCTTTCGTCATCTGAAATTGTCAATTGAGTCCTGCATCATGCAGAAGTTTTGAAAAATTATGAATGAATAATCAAAAAAAGTAGAAGAAACTCTTAATTTTTTCAAAGAGCATTTTTAATTTATATTCAGAATAAGTTGAATAACAAGAAATTGAAAAATGTATCTGATTTACGGTGACAAATGGTGGCCTGTCACCCAATATCATGCAGGGGGAAGACTGATTTCGTAAATATTTTCCCACACTGCACAGAGACACTTATTACGGAAAAGGCTGTTTGAAAAAAGTTGTAATATTTTGGAGAATTTTTTAATCACACTTTTATCACATAACAATGGCAGATGGCTACATACCACTGTTTTGAAAATTGAGATACCTAGCTGTCACTTCCCATGGGGAGTTAGTGTTATCCACCATGGAAAATGACAGCTAATAGATAGTCTGCCACAGCGAATCAGATATTTGTAATTTCCACTTTTTTCAACTCATTCTGAATCTCAATTAAAAACGCTCTTTAAAAAAGTTCAGAATTTTTTCTATTTTTTAAAAATCATTCTATCATAATTGTTGGAAATTTCTACTTGATACTTGTACCACTTAATTGACAATTTTGGATTACAAAAGATAACAAAAATCAAGATAACATTCGAAAGATAGTACACCCGGGCCTTAAACAAAATCGTTGTGATTTTGACTACACTTTTTAAACCATTTCATTTTATTCCCCGTCTCCCTAACATTTCTTGGTGTTTAAAATTATTTTTCAAATATTTAAAAAATTATTCTTTACTTTTATTTCATCTGTATAACATACAAAAATATTTTTTTCGTTGTGTTGTAATTTTTAATATCAATTAATTTGGGGGTAAAATTGGATTATTTCAAAGTGAAATGTAAAAATATTTTTTATTGAAAAATCGCTCAGTCACAGAATTAGCCTTTTGCCATTCTTCAGTGAAATGACTCAGTATCGCAGTTAATTAAAATTTAATGGAACGTTTCTATTTGATTCGATATGGTTTACCACTTCAATGCAGAAATGATCTCCGAGTTATTTTTGGACTATCAAGACTGAGTGGGTTTAGGGAAATTTCGGGGGGACAAGTGTTTTGTGGGGAATTTTGTCAGCCACAAAAATGGTCACATGGTGAATTTAGGTAGGCCTACTTGATTCTGAGGTATTTGGAAAATAATGAGAATGTTATTTTTGGAGTTTTGCCGTCTGATCGTTTCAATGCCGAAGTATTCAACGAGAAAATGCCAGTGAATTTACGGGGGAATTTTTTTTTCATGATTTCATATTTTAAAATTTTGACAATTTATTTTAACGAATTTTCATTTGTAAAAGGAGATGCGACGAACAATGACGTGGGGATTATTTCGGGAATACCTGGAGAAGATGAGGGGAATTCATCGGAGGAGGCGTTTTGCAGAATATTTTGTAGCCTACAATAATGGACTGAGACAAATTCCGATAAACCCACTCTTTTATGAGATATCGATAAAACAATGAAGATTCATTTTGCCAAGTGGGCGTATTTTTTAAAATTTAATTGCAGAAATAGTGGTGAGTGAACCAACAAATCATTCTTTGAATAAAAAAATAGGACAAATTTACATAAATTTGCATAAATATTCACTAACAAAAACGAGTGAATTTAAAAAAATCCATTCTAATCAATTCCCATTCGTAGAAGAAGATAACTCATGAATATCTGGGAAATGAGTGAGTTTCGCAAAATTTATCAGGAGATTAAGGAGGGATTTTTTTCTACCTTTTTTGTAGAGAGTTTTGTTATCTACAAAAAATGTCTTTTGATAAATTCTCCTGAGTCCATTCATAAGATATAAAAAAATGTGCATGTCATTTTTGGAGTTATCTCATCTTACAATGTCGTGATTACAGAATTATCGATTTTTTTAAATGCTAGTGACTTTTAGAATGACTCATCTTCAAAATTCTAATGATCTTCATAAAATAAATTAACTTATAAACCCTTCGTTACTTACCTTGTTTTTGAACAAATTATTTTCTTACAGAAAATAAAAGGATAAAAAAAATTCAATTGGATAGGTAAAGGTTTTAAAGAATGATATTCCTCCGATAATTTTCGTTCAGATCAGCGATGAAGTATTGAAACCAATTATTGAATAAATATGAATAATAGAGATTAAAAAAAAGAATTTGAATAATTAATTCACATTGATGCTCAATAGATCTTAAAAATTGGTAGAATCAATTAAATCTATCAAAAGATCTTTTCCCAAAAATTCAATAATCTACATAGATATCCTCTTCATAAATCACTCTAAACTTCCTCACTCCTCAACTATCTCCAAAATACACAGAATGTACAGAATTATAGATTTTTTCAGTGCTAGTGAATTTTAGGATGACTCCTCAACTTCAAAATCCTAGTGATCTCCATAAAACAACAAATTAATTTAATAAACATTCCATTATCAACGTGGTTTTTCAACAAAGTATTTTCTTACAGAAAATAAAAGGATAAAAATAGGTAAATTCAATTGGATAGTTGAAGGTTTTAAAAAATAATATTCCTTCAATGATTTTCGTTTAGATCAGTGATGAAATATTGAAACAAATTATTGAATAAAAATGAATAATAGCGATTAAAAAAAAACAATAATTGATTTGTATTGATGCTGATTAGATCTTAAAAAATAGCAGGATTTATTAAATCTATGATAAAATCTGTTGCAGAAAATTTAATAATCTACAGAGATGCTCTCTTCATGAATCCTCCCAAACTTCATCATTCTTCAGTTATCCCCAAAATACGCACCATGAATAGAATTATAAAAAATAATAATCGATTTTTAAAAAGCCTAGTGAATTTTAGGATGACTCCTCATCTTCAAAATCCTAGTGATCTCCATAAAATAACAAGTTAATTTAATAAACATTCCATTACCCAACTTGTTTTTGAACAAATTATTTTCTTACAGAAAATAAAACGATAAAAATAAATAAATTCAGTTGGACAGTTGGAGTTTTGAAAGAATGATATTTCTCCAATAATTTTCGTTTAGATCAGGGATGAAGTGTCGAAACAAATGATTGAATAAATATGAGTAACAAATATGAGTAATTATTGAATAAATATGAGCATTAAAAAAACAGAATCTCAATAATTGATGCTTAATAGATTTAAAAAAATAGTAGGATCAAATGAATCTATCATAAAATCTGTTACAGAAAATTTAATAATCTACAGAGATGCCCTCTTCACGAAGCCTCCTAAACTTCCTCATTCCTCAGATATCCCCAAAATACCCAACATGCACTTTTTCTCAAAAATATTTCCCTGTTAAAAATTTTTCCACTGAAATTTCACGAAATTTCTTCATTAAAAATTTACAATTTGATAAATAAATCAATGGAGACTGTCAATTTTATTTCCATTGTTCCACAAAAATTCATAGAAATCAGGAACATTCAGGTGAATATATTTTCGAAATTCCCCTCCAATTCGAAATTCGATGATTGCTACATTTTTCCTTAACGATGAAATAAATTCTCAAGCAATCACGAATCAACTATTTGAGTCCCATCATGAAAAATATCTCAAACAAGCTCAAAATCTCCATAAAATAGCAAAAAAAAAAAATAATTACCTTGGCAGCAATAAATAAGCAGGTGATGCCAATGAGTTGTAGTTGACTTTTTGGTACATTAGAGTGTGTCGACAGATACCTGTCGATATAATCCATAGCCAGATAATAGGTTTCCCTATGTAGTTTATAAACCTCGCAGACTTCGATGAGCCAATCCAGAAGAATAGCCCTCATTCTGGGCTGCAGTGTGGGATGCCTCTGGAACATCTGCGAGTCCCTCTGGGTAAGTGTCTTCTGATCTCCCAGGCACATCATCGACCACACCTGTGAGCCATCGGCCCAGGGAAACGAGGGGAGAGGACTTGGCTTGCCAGAGGAGGTGGAAGAGGCCGAGGGGGTTAGAAAGCACGTGGACGTTCGCAATTCTGACCAAGTAGAGGGCTCACGCTCCTTCAGGGGAGAGGACGAGTGATTCTGGGGGGTCTTAGGGGTCTCCGTAATACGTGCCCCATGACAGTGAGAGACTGTCGCTATTTTAGTCGGTGGATATATATTCTCAGCGTCCTCCGATGGTTCTGTACTCTTGCGTTTACGTTTCAGGAGTTGGGGCTTCATTCCCTGGGGTGTGAAGGGATGATTCTCCTGGAGACTGATTAAAACCAAAGAGGGAAACATTAACACACGAAATAGCCATCGCCAACAATTTTTCCACATTTACTTCACGTTCGTTGCATTCATCTTCAACAAATAATTTCCTCTTGCAATAAATAAAGAGAAAAAATTATTTCCAGTTCAGTTTTTCAGGAATTTCTTGAGAAGCTGATGAGTTGGGACATTGAAAATTGTTTTGTTGTTCGTGTCACAAAATTTGCAACGAAATTGAAGGATCAAGAGACTGTTACGCCCTGTTGATTATTGAGATACGACCAAAAACTATTCCACCCCGGAAAACCTGTTTTCGACCCGCCCCCTCCTGTTCCACGCCACAATAGTCCCGAAAACTACGTGTACCCTGTCTGGAAATTTCCCCCCTTTCCAATGAAACAACTCTCCACTTTCCATCGCCCACGGATCACAAGATATCAGTGAAAAACAACGATAAGTCACATTAATAAATCTCCTTATGCCATACTTGTGTCCACGAGGCCCCAAGTCTTCCCACGAATTCCCGGAAATTCTAAAAAATTCATGCCCCCCCACCGCCTCCCTGTGACCCCCACAATCCGTCACCCAATCCCCCAAAAAATGAAGAAAATAAGAGCAATGGAAAATCCCCTTGGAAAGCCTTGAAAAACCCCCGAGAAAAATGTTCTCACAGCGTGCACGCCCTGTCCTCACGAGAACAGGTTAGAGCACAGAATTTTTTTCCCACCCAATAACCCAAAATAATCCTTCTCCAATTCCCTCAGCACCCCCACAAGACTCCACCCAAAGGAATAATGCAAGTCCAGAGATTCCAGAAAATCCCAAATAAGTTCCATAAAATTAAATCCCCCAAGAAAATTGACTCCGACTCACCTAGTCTGCGGCATCTTGATGCTGTCCGTGATGACGTGTGCTCTCTTTCCCAAAAAATTCTCCAAAAAAATCCAAATTTTCTCAGAGGCCTTCGGTAACACTCCCCCAACACCGCCAAAGGTATCAGTAACAATAAAACCCTCGAATTGAATAAATGAGAGAGGATAAATGACGAGAGCGATGCTTGGGTCTCTCACTCAATCGCCATAATGCTCCCTCTGACCGCCGACCGAGCCGACCGTTTTTTCGTCGCCCAAAAGGCCTCGAAAAAATCGCGAAAAAAATTTTTCCAATTTTTTTCCAACCTCACAACTTCATTGAAATAAAATGGCCAATTTTTTAAAATTATTCATCAACTAATTTACGCTATAAAATTGGAAAAATGCGGGAGTTGATGAGTGGAGCGCGGGAGACTAGCGCGCGAAACTATGACCAACCCCTCTGGTAATCCGGTACTGTCACGCCCTCTGTACACACAACATAACCTCGAAGAAAACTCGAGTTTTTCCGGTTTTCCGGGGGTCAATGGAACCTCAAACAATTCCCTCAAGTGTCCACCCCTCAATTCCCCAATTTTTGCGCGTACGAGGGCTTCGATAATGCACCAACTGCAGCAACAATCACGGCGGGCTGAGCGTCCCGACGCTCCGACAATTCTAATATTTTTCCCCGGTTTTTCCCGACAAAATTCCCCCGAAATCACTCACAAAGTGTCTCCAGGTGTTCGCAGATATCCTAGGCACAAGTTGCAACCGATTTTCGGTGATTTTTTCACACAAATTGTTCACTAATTACGAGGGAAAAACCCACGCGCGCACTGTCCAACTTTGCTGGTGAATTCCCTCGATATTTCCTCGACTCTTTCACTTTTTCGGCACTTTTTCGTTTTCCTTGGGGATGTGTTCACTCACTGGGGGGTCACTGTCGATTAAAAAGGGCTTTAGACACGTGAAATGTTCCGATAAATGGGAAATTGTCGGTGAAAATGCGGGAGAGTCTGTGGCATTTCGCGGGAACGCTAGTGCGAGAGTCACTGGTTGTTGCATTTGTGGCGCTCCGGCTGGTGGATGAACTGAATGCTCATTGGCTGGTGGGGCTCGGACAGCTGGCGCTCAGCTGATCAGGTGTAACATGGATGCACTCATACTTGTGCAGGGAATGGGGGATCTACAGGTTGTGTGAGTGTGGTGAGGGTTGGGAGAGCACGCGGGAACCGTACGCGCGTAAATCGACCCCCCCAGCCCGCCACAACCGCTTTGGGAGGGATGCAAGGATATCTTGCCACGTATTTTTCGGGTAACGTGTGGACGGTCATTATGATATGCTTGTGCGCTTACTTGTTGCGTTGTTTGAGTTTGTTGGCGGGGTTTGGAAGTTTTTTCCGGGTTTCGATTTTGGCTGGAGCATTTGAATTTTATGGGTTTTTTAGTGGATTGTTATGACAGAAAAGGTGGATTTGATTGATGTGTATGAGTACGGTTGGAAAGTGATTGAGATGCGTTTAGGAGGGAGAATTTTGGAGGGAAGTGGCAAGCGTTGGTGAACGGGGTGAACAGCCGGAGACTCCGGAAAAATTTTCAAGCAAACAATTTGTAAAAAAAATACATTTACAAAGAAATGCGCTCATTTTCATCTATAAAAATAACATTTTTTTCCGGTGGTCAAAATGTATTGCTTTGTTTGAGTTTTTTGGCGGGGTTTGGGTTTTGGCTGGACCATTTAAATTTTATGGGTTTTTTTGGTGGATTGTTGTGACTGAAAGTGATTGGGATGCGTTTAGGAGGCAGAATTTTGGAGGGAAGTGGCAAGCGTTGGTGAACGGGGTGAACAGCTGGGGACTCCGGAAAAATTTTCAACAAGCAAACAATTTGTAAAAAAATACATTTACAAAGAAATGCGCTCATTTTCATCTATAAAAATAACATTTTTTTCCGGTGGTCAAAATGTATTGCTTTGTTTGAGTTTTTTGGCGGGGTTTGGGTTTTGGCTGGACCATTTGAATTTTATGGGTTTTTTTGGTGGATTGTTGTGACTGAAAGTGATTGGGATGCGTTTAGGAGGCAGAATTTTGGAGGGAAGTGGCAAGCGTTGGTGAACGGGGTGAACAGCTGGGGACTCCGGAAAAATTTTCATACAAACAATTTGTAAAAAAATACATTTACGAAGAAATGCGCTCATTTTCATCTACAAAAATGACATTTTTTTCCTGTGGTCAAAATGTATTGCTTTGAGTTTTTTGGTGGGGTTTGGATTTTGGGTGGAGCATTTAAATTTTATGGGTTTTTTTGGTGGATTGTTGTGACTGAAAGTGATTGGGATGCGTTTAGGAGGCAGAATTTTGGAGGGAAGTGGCAAGCGTTGGTGAACGGGGTGAACAGCTGGGGACTCCGGAAAAATTTTCATCCAAACAATTTGTAAAAAAATACATTTACAAAGAAATGCGCTCATTTTCATCTACAAAAATGACATTTTTTTCCTGTGGTCAAAATGTATTGCTTTGAGTTTTTTGGCGGGGTTTGGATTTTGGGTGGAGCATTTGAATTTTATGGGATTTTTTTGGCGGATTGTTATGACAGAAAAAGTGGATTTGATTGACGTGCATGATTACAGTTGGAAAGTCATTGGGATGAGTTTAGGAGGAAGAATTTTGGAGGGAAGTGGCAAGCGTTGGTGAACAGTTGGGGATTCCGGGAAAAATTTTCATCCAAACAATTTGTAAAAAATACATTTACAATGAAATGCACTCATTTCCGTCCCCAAAAATTACATTACAAAAATTACAAAAATTACATTTTTTTTTCCTGTGGTCAAATGGTATTGCGCTGTTTGAGTTGGCAGAGGAATAATGTCGATGAACTTCGGGGTGTGTGGAGGTGGGGGAGGAGTCGATAACATAGGGATTCATCGAAACTTTGAATTTAAAGGTCCATTCCATCCAGATATCTTGGAATATTTACATGGCGACATTGAACTCATCGGTAATAATCGTGGATGAACGAATAGAGGACCGACGCCTTGAGCTTGTCACTAAACTAAAAGTTGAGAAAATGTTCCCATCTTTCGACGTAAAAGTAGTTCTCAGTGCACTCAACATAAGAGCAATTACGACTATTGATTTATTCTTGAAAAAAATTAAAGTGAATGTAGGAGATCCCGATAAAAATGATCGATTATTCTTTCGATTTGTATTCTGATCAGTACTCTTCAGCAGAGTAAACCCATTGGTTTAAAATGCTTAAATAAATAAAAAAAATAGCGAACATAAATATGAGTAATTAATAGGGGAGGGTAGGGCAAAACGGACCGCTAGGGGAAAACTGACCACTGACAGAAAATTGGTAATTTTTGTTTTTTTTCTTTTCTTCAAATCAGGAACACTGACTCTGTTGAATTAAAAGTGAGTTTCAGAATCATAACCGTCACAGGGATTTTATAGACAACAAGTCTCGTTGAGCCGCACTTTGATGAGATTTGCTAATCACGTCAAACCATAAATGACTTTGAATTTTTGTTTCTATTTCCATTCAGTAATCCGTTTTGCCCTAGGGGTCCGTTTTGCCCTACCCTTCCCTAATGAATATTAAGTTCCAAAAAAAGTAGGGTCAACAGATCAATTTTTAGATGGGGATTAGTTTCTGGACGATTGCCGCTTGCATTGAATATTCCATAAATAAAATGAAAATTGTACTGATTATTTCACCTTTCAATAATTGATCAACCTTTAAGAAATAAAAAAAATATGGCCCTGTCCAGAAATTAGGAATTTCGGCTGCATTCAACTATTTCTTAATTCAATTATTCTTTGTTTTGTTAGTTTCACTTCAAATAATTTTTTTCTGTTAATTAAACCATTCTTGAAGGTATGGAAGCCACCATATCCCCATTTAGGTGATTCTTTTATTTTAGATTCTACCACGAAACTCGAATTTCCCTTAACTGTCCAGCCACTGGGCTGTTTACCCTACTCCACTTCACAACAATAAATCCATCTTTCCTCAAATCGAGATACTTAAATTTGTTCAATCATAATTTAACCCTTTCATCAATCCCTAAACACAAAAAATCTAATAATCAGGCAAAATCCAATTTTAGCGAATTTATAGCGCTCTTTCCTATTTTATTATTTTCTGAAAGTTTAAAATACTCCCACATTTGAATTACGAGTCGCTGCACTGAAAAAATCATAATATCCTGGATACAAACAATGAATAATTCATTGACTATTGAAATGAAACAATAGAACCATCATTTGTCTCAATTTTCATGTCAGAAGTTTTTAACTTAACATTCAAACAATGAAATAGCGATTGTCGGCGATTTTTCGCGGTTCAAATTCAACGCTCGCGAGTGCGCCCAGTCTCCCGACGCCCCCGAATGGTCACGATACATCACATCTACCTGAAGAACAGTAGAATCACAATGATCACATCTACCTGAAGAACAGTAGAAACCTCCTTGATCACCTGCAGAAATGTAGATACCTTCAACACTGGATATTCACCTTCGTGATTACCTTAAAAATCGACAGAAATTGAAGACTATCTCTGCAATGGAATAAATATTTAAGCACCTACGAACATCTAAAAAACACCTCAATCGCCAATAAATTGCCGCAACAATATTCAATCTAGAACAATAATTTTATCTCCCGAAACATTCGTCAGATAAGAATTCTCAGGCCAATTCATTTAAAAAACGAAGAAACAAACAGGAAGTAAAACACGATGACGAATAACTAACTGATGTACTCAGCAGTTTTATTGCCTCATCGATTGAATTCCATCTACTGTAAAGGGAACGATGACAAGGAAGAGACGTCGCAATCCTCAAAACAATGCAATTTTCGAAAAATGGGGGAAATAGAGCAAATGGAAATTGAGGGGATTTGAATGATACCTACAAGGCCTGTACTGAACACATTGTAGGTTTGTAGATTTTCCATAATGAAATCGACTAGTTGATTTGAGCCAGTTTGCACATGAAAAGAAAATATTTCGAGTTGAGAATATTGTCATTAGGTCACGAATAATTTGTCTTGTAAGAGAAATTCGCGGGACTGGCGAGTGTGAGTGGAGTAACTACGAAAAATGGGACATTTCATCTTCGATTGAGAGAAAAAATACAATTTGTTTTGCTTAACGAGGCTTTTAAATTATTAACACCCTTCGTTAATAGTTAATGAATGGGATGAATAGCTACAAAACCTCGTTAAAGTAGTATAAACATGACTTGAATTGTGAAGATTAAAATCGGAAGTAAATTTTAAAGAAAAGTTAATAGAATAAAAATATTCTCATTCAGCATTGTAGTATTATTGATTACAATTAATTTAGAAGTGCAAAAATAATACAGCCTTGTGAAAAAATTAACTTTGCGAGGTGAGGGCAAACATTGAAATCTCCAAAAAATCTCGAAAAATCAGAAAAAATAAATAAAAATTCTATTTTCAATATGAAAATTATCGTCAGTGTCAAATTTTTGTAATAAATAATTCATGTTTCTGTATCCCTGAAATGGCGCGTTGCGTGGAAACAACGTATTCAAACGAGAGACTGTCGTTTAAAAAGATAATTGGAGAAAGAATTTAAGGGATTGATTTTGTAAACTCAACAACGTTAGAATTCATGAAAAAAATTATCAATGATGAATTTGTTTTTGCTTTTTGAGTTGAATTTTCCTCGTTAAACTCAACAACTCAGTTAGAGTTTATAGACTACTTCAACAACAACTAAATTCTTCCGGCATTTGCCTTTATATATTGCAAAGGATCTGGCCGTTATGGAATGGAACTAAATCCTTCCATCTTTTCTATCAATGTAGTTTTCAGGGGGTTAGAAGCGAAACTATTTAATTGAAGAAATTTATTCGATTTTACCGAGGAGAAGGGCTTAAAATATTCCGTAACGTTTTAGCTTATCGAATGAATACCAAAAAACAGGCAATGAAAAATATCAAGCACACAGAAAACGTTGTGCAGATTATCTGCAATCTTATGCAGGTTTTACACATAAGCTCCGCGAACCTCCCA